AAGCTCAGAGAACCTCAAGGACTCCACAGTTCAACCCTGAGCTACACATATTCACCTCTATAGATATTGCACTGAAGGGCACCAATTATTGATCATGTTGGTCAAGAATCCTGGAGGGCACCAGGTACAGGAAGAATGCTACAGATTTTGTGGTGACATGATAATGACTGATAGGATTAGACTTTTGCACTGAAAAGCAATGCCGTTCATTATGAATAAAAAGTCATACATACCAATTTCATGTCTTGATGTATATTTTTAAGTGTCGTATAAACATATACACAACTTTTTTGAAAAAAAAAGTCATCCATAAACGCTTAAGATACATCATAACAGATTCAATGGCTTGCAGTCCCATTAGTGTCGCACTGAAACTAATGGTACAAGACTATCATGACTAATTTAGGCTGTAGTGCTAAATGAATGTACTAATCCCCAATGAATGTAGGATTTAGTTCTGAATAAAAAGGCATAGGCATGCACTACAAAGCACAATTCAACCCAATAAAATAATTAAAACTAACAAAATAGATTTTTTTCTTAAAGAAATGAATAAGACCCATGAGGTTATGCTACTGTGCATAATTTAGAATTTACATACGTCCACGTTGTATCTCTTCTGTCTCCTTTCATGAAGTTGGGGAATAAGTCGCAGCAAAGGATGCATGACCGATAGCTGAAAGAACAGGAGCACAGACACGTGAACGGCAGTGAAATTCTAGCCTGAGTCTGGGAAGGAATCCCCTCTCTTGTGACACGTACTCATAAGCACAGCATGCAGCAGAGATGCCCATAATAAATATCTCCCAGGCTAGAAATCATGGTCTATCAAGGTCAGGGCTGGCTAGACTGCCAAGCAGACTGAGGATACTGCTGCTGACCACAAATTTTAGGTGTCAGAAATGGGAGTAAATTAGCATATTTACTTTGTTATTGTTCTATTTTTTTCTTCCAAGCATAGGATGAGATGCTTGTGAGATCTTCTGCCTCACATATTTAGCCTTTAATCCTGTGCATCATGTGGATAGATGAGTCGGGAGCAACATTTGCTGTTCTGCCTCAGACTGTAGGCTGGCATGGCATTTTACACAGGCATGTGCTAGAGGGGAAAATGTCAGGATGATAGCAAACCCCATGATCTCCAGATGGGAGAATTTCAGAAACCCTGCCAGGAAGAATTATTGGCATAAAGCTTCAGATCCAGGCATCACTCTCTCACTTACACCAAGGAGAAGGCTCCCTTGATCCCACTCAGCGATCGATGATTTGTATGACCCGTTCTACAAACTCTGCATAGTACAAGATACAAGCCGCAAGGAAAAACCCAAGAGTAAAGCAAAGCAGATGTTTCCTGGCCATAATTGACTCAATCCATTTCTAAATTTCTACATTTTAACTCCCCAACTTCTTCCTTTCTCCACTGTTAACTGTTTGGATTCTGCTTGATCGCTTTTCTTCTTAGTTCACCTCCTGTTTAAATCTATTTCGCCTTGCAGAATTCATCTGCTACTCAAAACAGCCTCTCTGCCAGTATTTCTGCACACCTGCAGTGCTGTTGATGGTTGGGACTTTTGGCATAATGAAATTATGCTGCAATACAGAATACATTTCCTGTTGTTATAGTTTATTTCTTACTTGGTTACAGTGCCTGTAAAAATTCATGCAACAAAAGCATGTAAGGTCTTATAAACACTGTTCACAAAACATACCACTGTAGAACTATCATTGTATTACTGGTGCAGTCTTTTCTGATATCCTTGCGTTTCCCAGTGATAAACCAACATGGCATGAGTTGTAATAAACTGGTTATTGGGCAACAGGACACAATTTCTTTCTAGATTGATAATAATTTTAGAATAATTTGTAGAGTAATCAAAATAGTAATATTTTCTGATATTATCCCAAAATTTGGACCAAAGGGCTTTCTGCTACAAAGACTGACAATATGACAACAAATATGGAACATTAATTATATTATAAAATGAATGACAAATCAGTACATTTGCTATGAGAGTTTTGATGAATGACAGATGTAGATGTCTATTTAAAATACATAATGGTGCTTTGGAGCAATTTTAATACGCTAAAAGCAAGGTCTCCTTAAAACCTATCACGCATAGCTGGGTCAGAGCTGGGCAACTGGACTAATAGGGTTCATGCAGTTCCAAACTTTTTTTTCTAGTAAAATAGTGAACTTTCATTATGCATTTTTTTAAAAAATCAAAGTAAGTAGCTGAATTAAGTCTATATAAGCTTAACACAACTTTCTTTTTAATTGAAAAACAGCTACTATACTAAAAGTAAAAAAAAAAAAAAAAAAAAAAAAAAAAAAAAAAAAAAAAAAAAAAAAAAAAAAAAAAAAAAAAAAAAAAAAAAAAAAAAAAAAAAAAAAAAAAAAAAAAAAAAAAAAAAAAAAAAAAAAAAAAAAGAGAACCCACCTCCTCCAGGGATGTTACAATCACATACCTTCTGCAGTTCTTGTACTTTTGTTTTTTAAGTGTAATTCCTGCCTGCAAAAAGGTATCTTGCCTCTCTAGGTTTATGTATAAACATCAAATATATAGTTGTTGATGAAATCCATCCCAAAAATTAATATAACCTTACAAAGAGGAATAATTTGTGTTATGTGGATATCCTATTCACTCTTAGTGTTGATGTTAAAATATTAAAATTATACAGATGTAACTTTATGTCAGTAATAGAGGTGTTATAATAATGTATATTAATGTATTAATACAATGAATTACAACACATGGATTAGTGTATTTCATAATTCACACCCACATTTTCCTAATTTTTCACCTTCAGATTTAAGTACCATCTACTTTAGTTAGGCTTCAACAAAAATTGTCCATTTACTAACTGCATTGAAAATACTGCCATGGATTATACGTTTGACCTTTGCCTGGTAGGAACTGAATAAAATCCAACTAATAGTTGTATTTTTTTTTAAGAAATAAGAATCTGTTATTCACAGGGAAAAGACAGTTCAACTTACTAGATCATTTGAACTCTCTGTATAATGAATCTTGAAATAATGAAATAAGGACTGGACAAAGAATTCAAAGTGAATTTTACTTTCAGACAGAATGAAATGAGGTGAATGTCTTGACAACATGTGATTCAAACAAACAGATATTTTTTTTAAAAAACTTACCTTTTTAGCATTACCCCTTTCAACTAACTCCTATGAAAAGAATGATAATAATTATTTTAATAACGGACATTTTATCCTTTGGCACCCTCCCTATACCACGTGGTTCAATAGTGTGAGTGAAATCCAGGGTCACATAAGCATTCTTTCTGCCTATCCAGTTTACTTTGCAGCTTTCTCTTATCACCTTCAAAATCTATTCTATGTGGCTGTCAGACCCCCTCCCCAGAATAGATTTTTAGGACCAGGGTGGGATTTCAGAGGAAGTGTCAATCAAGAGAAGGGCTCCTCTAAATTTTACACTTCTTGTAATGTTGACTGGCAGCTGTAATCAGATACATATGTAATTATATACATAGTCTATATTATACTGAACAAGATTTATTTCTGAATAATTGTACTGTTGTACAATTGTACTGTTAATATATATCCATAATAGAGATTATGCTACTTTCATTTTGCCTCCAGGGTCACCACATCATATTAAATATATATTTATTACACTCTGTAATAATTTGTTGTTCATAAAATTGGTTGAGGAGTTTGAATTTACATAGACTGTGGCAATAGTCAAGCAATGGAATTCAATCACGTGTTTTGCAAAAGACTGACAGACTGTTAACTTTAAGGATGCCTATGAAAACAAAAATCTACCTATTGCCTTATAAATATTTCTCCATAATTTCTATTTATTGTTGTATTTTGGTAGGTAAATTGCTGGGAGATGTCACACTTTTTTGAGGGAGCTGTAGTACTTTTCATAATAATGATAACGTGAAATGAAGATATCTATAACATAACTTATATAACAAGTGTTTCAAGGACCATTTTGGGAGAGGGAAAGAGGGGGCCTTAATAAATACTAACTTACATTACAATTTAATATAATGTTTACAGTGCTCATTTACAGACCAGAAACCATGGCTGACATCAACTTTGGTGAGTTCCTAAAGACAACTTTAGGAAACCATGGCTTGAAATTAACTTAATTCAAAGTAACTGTAGTTAATCGAAACCACACGTGACACAAAAAACTATATTAAAGGAAAGTGAAGGCAAAAGTTTCAGAACACTGCTTTTTGGGAGAAGGGAGGGAAGACTGAGGGAATTTCACTTATTGTGGCTTATTCTATGGATGTCCAAAGTAAGAATAAATGATCTGAAGTATTTCATAATGCCAACATTATGAATGTTTTTCATAATGAACCCATGACTTACATATTTGTGTCTGATATCGGGATGCAAATATGAAAGGGATCGTACTGTGACATCACCGGGCACGTATCATTCTTTTGTCATGCTGTGGATGCCCATAACTCACTCCTGCATTTCCCTGTATTTTCATTGATTCATTGATTCAGTCAATCAGTCAATCAATGAATTTATATAACCACTCAACTTGCAATTTGTGACTCTGGGCAGCTAACATAGGGTTAAAACCAAAAAGGCAGAAAATAACCAAACAAAACAGAAAAATACAGTACAATCAACCCCAACCACAATCCTAATCTTAACCATGACAAAACAGGCTCTTCTAACACTCTGCCACAATGAACAGGGGAAGAACCAGATTTTCAAAGACTTATGGAAGGCCAGCAATGTTGGGGTCGTTTAAATCTCAGGAGTATTCTGCTCCATAGAGCAGGCAGGCTTCCTGGTCCAATCAGATGACATTGTTCATGGAGGGGACCCAGAGGATGCCCACATGGTTGGATTTTGTGGGACAGGCAGAAATAATCTTGTGGGATAGACAAACTCACAAATAACCCAGCCATGTGCCATGAAAAGTTTGATAGGTGGTAACCAGAACCTCAAAATGTACCTGGAAGTCAATGTAGCTCACAAAGCAGTGGTGTTACACGGTTATACTATGGTATGCACCCATGACTATCTGTGATACTGCATTCTGGACGAGTTGTACCTTCCAATGGTCTTTAAGAGCACCTCCATATAGAGCACATTGCAATATTTCAAATAAGAGGTATCCAGGGTATGAGTGAGTGTGATCAGGGCCTTCTTATCCAGAAATAATTGCAAGTGGTATATCAAATGGATGTATGCAAAAGCTCTCCTGGCCACAGCTGCCTCCTGCTCTTCATGCAGCACCCAAAAGCCCAAGAGACCCCCAAACTTTCAGTCTCAAAGGCCACACCGTTCAGGAGTAGCCCGCTTTTGTTCATTACACTCCATCAGACCTCATACTTCACTCAAGTCTTCTAAGCAGGTCACTGGGATAGAGAAGGAAGTCATGAGGTCCCTTCCCCAAAAGTCAAAGAGCTGGGATTCAGGAGCACTTTGTCCTTCTTCAGCTTTTGGCCAGGACCAGCCCTCTCTGCCTGTGAAGGTGGGGTGTGTTCCTTCAGCAAATGTGGTTCCTGTCTCCTCAACTAAGCTGAGGTAAAAACAGCCTCGGCAACTTCATATGAAGAAAGGTTGGTAAGAAGGATGAGCTCACCTGGTTGTAGTACAAGACTGCACACATGCCTGTCCATGTACCCCCATGCTGCTTGGATGGGTACATTCTGGTCCCCTTGGGGACCCGAAGCACCAAGTGGTGAAAGGTGAATCTAAGACCAAGGGAAGATTCCATACATACAGGTCCCAAGGTTTATGCTTGCTGAGTTCTTTGTTACAATGATTTCTCTACCACTCATTCCCAAAATTGCCCAGAAAGGAGGAGACGGAGGAGAATATACAGAAGACAAGACAGCAAGGTCTTAAAAGCTAGATTAAAAAGGAAGAGAGGGTTGACCCTGAAGAATTTTTTTTCTTCCCCAACTCTTTAACTGAGCTCTTCATAGGGATCATTTTGGCGAGATGAAAGAGGTGGGGGGAGTGTTTTACCACCCAAGTTTGCCTGAAGTTAATTTATGGATCCCAGAGAGATTGAATCGACTAAACATGGGTTAGAGCTGCTATTAAGGCTTTCACCTTGTGGCAGTAAGGGCAGCGAACTGTGATTACTTCCCCACTCTTACTGTGTCCACAGATAGCTGCCCGGCAGCCCTGTTTTGAGTGACATGTGCCCTCCTGGGTAAGGGGGGCTCAGAAAACCTCTTGCAGGGGTGTGCGGAGGAATTTGCTCAGTATCTGTCAAAGTCACTCAGATTTGTTCTCAGTTGGACACCAGTCTTGCTGTAGGGCTGGGGGAGATGCCTAGGGAGGAGTCTTGCCCTGTTATCTGAGAACGGTTTGAACCTGTTGGACCTAAGGAAGTGGACAGGATCCTTGGGGCTGTGAGTTCAGCCACCTGCTCTTTAGATTCATGCCCCTCCTGGCTGGTTGAAGTGGCCTGGGGATGTCATGTGAGTGGGTTGTAGTGATGGTTAACTCTTTGTTGAATGATGGGGTTGTTCCTTTGCCTCTTAAGGAGGCTTTGGTTCACCCCCTCAAGAAGCCATCACTGTACCCCACTATACTGGACAGTTTTCATCCAGTATCTAACCTCTTCTTTTGGGGGAAGTTGATTGAGAAGGTGGTTGCACAGCAGCTTCAGAGGACCTTGGATGAAGCAGATTATCTGGATCCCTTTCAGTCAGGATTCAGGCCTGGGTAAGGGACGGAAACAGGATTGGTCATGCTTTTGGATGATCTCTGGTGAGGGCGGGACAGGGTTGTGTATCCACCCTTGCCCTACTTAACCTCTCTGTGGCTTTCAATACCATCGACCATGGTATCCTTCTGGACTGGCTCAGGGGATTGGGGGTGGGTGGCACAGTGCTGTGTTGGATCACCTCCTTTCTCTGGGGCTGATTCCAGTCAGTGGTGGTTGAGGAGGAGAGATCCCACCCTTGGCTCTGATTACGCGGGGTGCTGCTGAGTTTGGTACTCTTCCCTCTCCTATTTAACATCTGCATGAAGCTGCTGGTGATCTCATCCATCGCTATGGGGTGAAGTATCATCAGTATGCTGATAACACCCAATTATACATCTCTGCCCCTGGCAAATTAATTGATGCTGTGAACATCTTATCCCAGTGCCTGGAGGCTGTGAGGGTCCGGATGGGGAAAAACAGGCTTCAGCTGAACCCTGGCAAAACTGAGTGGCTTTGGGTTTTAGGGCCTTCTGGTTCTAGGACTATGCCATCTTTGATGCTGGATGGGATGGCACTGTCCTAGACAGACCTGGTGCGCAATCTGGGGGTCCTCCTGGACTCATGACTCCTGCTTGAAGAGCAGGTGGCAGTCATGGCTAGGAGGGCCTTTTCACAGCTTTATGTTGTGTGCCAGTTGCACCCATTCATGGTTCAGGGGGCTCTGCTCAGTTACCCATGCCCTAGTCACCTCCCATTTGGACTTCTGCAATATGCTCTACGTGGAGCTGCCCTTGAAGAGTACCCAGAAGCTTCAGCTGGTGCAAAATGCAGCGGTGCAGGCAGTTATGTGTGCCTCTAGAAGGGTACACGTTACATCTCTACTCTGAGAGCTGCACTGGTTGCCAGTTTGCTTCTGGGTCCAATAGAGAGTGGGAGAGGCAAAAGGCTCAGAAGAGACCCTCCCTAGTTTCTTGGGCTGTAAGGAGACGGGAGGGGGGGAATTGTATTTTTATACTTGCAAGATTCTGTCAATGTAGCTTTACAATAAAGTAGAATTAGCTTATCTGGTGATTCCTACCTGGTTTACCCTGCGAGGCTGACATCAATCTTGCAAGTATGAAAGATCTATCTATCTATCTATCTATCTATCTATCTATCTATCTATCTATCTATCAAATTTATCTCCGCCCATCTCCCCCTGATGGGGGACTCTGGGCGGCTCACATAACCCATTAAAACAATAAATATATATACAATCACATAAAACATAAAAACTGTAGAAAACATTACTAAAAAAAGAAAAAAGGGAAAATCCAAGAGGCTGATGGTTTCCAGAGCTGCAGACAACAGGCCTCTAAGGGGCTAGCCATCCCCACGCTTAATGTCGTCCTTCCCCACCCCGGGCCAAGCGGCAGAGCCAGGTCTTCAAATCCCTCCAGAAGGACAGGAGTGAGGGGGCCAATCTCACCTTCTTTAAAGGTTAGAAGAATATTAAAGCCTTGCCCTTCAAAATCTTACTACATACAACAGAAAATGTGGGATTTCTCCAAGTAATGTCATCATTGCAAAATAAGACTAGAAAGAATCTTAAACACTAGAAACTTTCATTTTATGATAATGCAGGCTGAGATTCTCTGAATTCTGCATCCAAGTCAGTACTTTCTCAAATAAAAATGTTAGAAAGTTATCAACGTTGAAGTCCTTCAATCACATGAAGAACATAGCCCAATTTCCTTCTAAAGCTTGTCTTGCTATGTAATATGGAAAATACTGAATTTAAATTAATTCCAAACTTCAAGGTACATGCAAATTAGGAATGGCTTATTCAGGTTTGCTAGTTTGCAAAACTTCCAGAATAAGATTTTTAAAATATCTAACTTACAGTTTGAGCAATGACTGTGCTTACCATTTAAACTGCGGATGTACAGAACTGAACATTCTGTGAGCCACTTCTAATCTGGAAGATTACATTCTGGAAAAATCACTAGGTCACTCCTGAAATAGTCAGGGTGACATGCTTCAGAGGAAGAACAGGCCATCCAGTTTTGCATATTCCTAATTTAAATTTACCAGTCTGTGAGTAGCCTTGCAACAACTGATATCAGGGAGCCACAAAGCTGAGAATCCATCAGCATTTATCATTTGCTTGAAAAGTAATTATAAAACATTACAGAAGAATCTGGCTACCATATTCAAAAATACAGTACAATAATAACTTCTATTACCTTATCTTTCTGTAGAAACTCCAGAATCATAAAGCAGAATTCTCCAAGTACATTGGATAGCTAAGAAAAGAGGCTAGATTAATGAACTGAAAGCATCCTCCTTGAAAAAAATTAACATATTTGCATTATTAATAGTTTTAAACTCAACTGACCTGCGGCAGAGTATCTCTGGCCAGGTAAGCAGAACATATATCATCTGTCTATAAAGATTGATAAGAAGGTAGATATAGTAAGGTTTTCAGCTGAACAAAAAGGAAAGAAACTGATTTTTTTGTTGTATATTACAAATAAAGTATATCAGTTCTCTATTAGAATCCTTAATTATTAAACCTGTTTTTTTTTTAACTATAGTACAAATGGTATTGGTACAACCATGTCATAAATAAAACAATTCTGAAAGAAGCAATGATAAAATTGCTCTCTACCTCATTCCACATTTTTTCTCCTTGGAGAACATGAGATGCCACTGGTATACCTGGAAATAAAAAGAAATTATCTGTGTTTAAATTCTATGTTGCTGTTTATGATATTACTACCTATGCAAAGATCATTGACTGAATATGTCAATGAGAATAAACAAATACTGTTAACCAGAAAATAGCGTGACGGTCGTGATAGCAAAAAAGCAGGCTAGACATTGAATATACTTAGGAAGCTGATATTCAGATCCTGAAAAGAGTTTACTACAGGCCTGAATTATATAGTGAAATGAAACATTACATGGTTATGTCATTACTTTTTTAGGATTCCCATTCATTTCAGTGGGGCATGTGCAAAAAAAAAAAAAAAAAATAGTGAATGGATTAATTTTATTGAAATTTTAGCACTTCTGATTCCGAGCTACACAGCAGTACACATTGGATTATATGAAACACATGTTTTCAAACACTTTTTATTTGATCCCTGATCCTAACAGGACAATATTGAGTTTGAAATATTATCTGTCCCATAAATAAAACTGTTGCATCAAATCCACGTTTATCTACATACTGTATATGTGAAGGCAGAACTTTATTTTTCTTCTAGATGAGACAATGTTCCCAATTTGTCCAGATCTGAATGCTACATACTCAGGTATTTTTTGAAATGTTAATAATGGTCAGAAACCTTAGGGAAATACGCCCAAATAAAACATATTTCTCTCTCTTTCACTCTCTGACAAACATATCTTCTTTAAAATGAAATACATTCAACAACTAACCACCTGAAGAAGTGCTATTCATTTTTGCATCAGGTTATTCAAATCCATAGATGTTTTGATTTTAGAAGGAAATTATAAGGATTTATAAAAATCTGGAAAGCTAAGAATTATAACACTACTAAGCAGAGATCTTATAAGCCATATGGGGCGACGATTACCTTTATTCTAGAGAGATAAAACCAATGTTTAGCAGAGGATTGGAGAAATGGTCCCAGCGCTGACTATGTATCTTGACTGTACTGCAAGTCTGACACAATTTTAAAAAGAACATCTTCTCTAGTGCAGGGCTGTTACTTAAACTTCCACTTAATTGCCGTCATGTAGGCTTTCGTTCAACAATATACAAAGGATTTTTCCTTAAGGACAAAATTTAGCCAACAATTGTTACTTTACAGAACACTGATGCCCGACTCGTTTGGAAAACTATCTCCTCAGATAAAACCACAGATGAAACTAGATGTTGTTTTAGTAAACGCCTGTTGGCAGAGCACACTCGCTAATACAAATCTGGCCAATAAGAGCATCTGCAGAAAGGGTTTCATTGGTAACGCTGCCCAGCAAACGCTTCCCGAGGACAGTTTTCTCCAGCGGGAGGCCAACTAAACAAAAGCATTAGGAGGTGAACTGCAGGGACAACATTTAAGCAAGTCTCCCCATTGCCCCACGCCGGCCACAATATCCCCTGAAATCCTTTTCCCTCCATTAGCATCATCAAGAAAACACAGAATGAGTTGCATTCAGTCACCCCCCCCCCATTTCAATCCAAAAACCAACTTTTGCTTACTTATCATGCAGAAATTTAAAATGCAAGAATCCCAAACTTGATTCCTAATGGCAGTTCATTTTTCTCCTCTCTAAGATAACTGAATGAAATACATTGCATACTTGTCCACATGCAAGTGAATATTTGTTTATGTATGCCAACATAAAAGTAACTCTATATAGCATAAGGAAAAAAAATCTGACCAATCACACTGAAGATAGCACATACTTATAAGTAACTGATGAACAGTATAAGTTAATATGGCATAGGATATTTAGTAAGATGGCCTGGTGCTTCCCAGAAGGAGAGTATTTTAGACAAAAATGTCAGAATATAAATAGCTGAGACTTAATTGTCAACCTGGTCTCTTATTGTCATTGTACATATAAACCTAAGTTTAATTCACAAAACATTATTTTAGTACAAGTGCGGACTAGGTTATTAGCCTTATTAGCCACACACTAATAAAATGTCAGTCTTGGCACATTTGGGATCATATGCTTCAAAGAGAAACAAAGCATGCTTACGTTATTGAGTTCACACTGTTTTGTGCAAGCTAGGACCTTTAATCTAAGATTAACTTTCAAGCCAACATCTTGCCTGCATTCCACCTAGTACATGTAGTGTATTAAAACACACTCAGGATAAAAAGTGATTCCAGCAGAATACATGGAATTCCAGATATAAGAAACAAGGTATTTTGGGATGAAATTAAAGTGAGGGGATGCTGCAATGAGTATTTTAGAGATTTCTGTTGGAGTGATAGAGGAATTGAAACAAATGCCATAGAAGTTATTATAAAAAAATAAATTGGTGAAAAGTCATAAATGCTGTGAGTACATTGAAAAATGATAAGCGTAGGTCTGGAGAGTGTGACTGGAGAAATGTTAAAATCGGAATATGGTTTGCTTATGATATAGCTATGCTACTTGCTTAATGCCTGTGAAGATGTCCTCTGTAGCTGCTGCTGCTGCTACTGTTCCAATATACAAAGGAAAAGAGAGCAAGAGTTAATGCAAAAACTATGGGGGGATTAGTTTGTTAAGTATTTGGCATAATTCTGACAGAAAGGATACAGACGTAACGATGGACAAAATTTGGGAAATGCAATGTGGCTTTATGCACAGGTGGCGGGCAGACCAATATTCAGCATGAAAAATGTATGAATGTAAGAAAGTCTATTGAGCATTCACTGATGTAAAGAAAGTATTTTGATCTTTGACTTTAAATAAACTTCAATCATCATTGTAATATAGAGAAAGTGTATGATAAAGTGAATAGGCTTTGATATTGAGAAGTTTTGTACAAACATATAGATAAAGTTTGGTTGCTCAGTGGGGTAAATGTGGTACATGATAGAACTAAAACATGCATGAGAATCAAAAATATTCTTAGCAAATGGGTTCAGCACTGAGCAGAGTAAGACAAAGATGTGTAATATCCTTATTATTTCAACTATTTATGAATAAGGAATGCTTATGGTTCCTTATTCATAAGGAATTATAAGCATATGGAACAAGCAGTCAACTTATGGAACAAGCAGTCACGAAATACACAGAAGACTAGCACTTGGTAGAGCATCCATGAAGGTTTTGGAAAAGATATTCAAATGCTATGATGTGTCTATACCTATAAAGATCAGAGTCATGCAAGCTATGGTATCCCTGTGATGCTCTATGGAAGCGAAAGTTGGACTTCAAAGAAGCAGGATAGAAAGAGTATTGACACCTTTGAACTTTAGTGTTGGAGAAGACTCCTAAGTATACCATAGACAGCCAAGAAAACAAACCAATGGATCATCAAACAAATCAATCCAAAGTTCTCACTCAAGGCACACATGACCAGGCTCGAATTATCCTATTTCAGACACATTACGCGAAGATCCAGCTCTCTGGAAAAGGCTCTAATGGTGGGAAAGGTGGAAGGAAAGAGAAGAGGACAACCAACAGCAAGGTGGATGGACTCAGTTACAGTGGCAATGGGTGCACCATTGGGAGACTTGAAAGAACAGGTTAGGGACAGACCATCATGGAGAAAATCTATGCATTTTCTAGGAGACAAAAATGACTTGATGGCACATAATCAATCAATCTATCAGTCAATGCTTATGGTGATGTTGAATTATGTTGGTTGGAGACGTACATGCACCTGTACTGGGCTATGCAGATGATGTTGTGTTGCTGACTAAGAACCAAAATTATTTGCACTGGAATGGGACACTTACGAATTGTGATAAAAAAAGAAGTTATCAGGTCAAAAATGTATTGATCCTAAAGGAATGTGATTTGAATACAAAATGAGCAACCAGTATAAAATAAGTACAGTGAGGGGGTTTGGTCATGTGGATAAAATGAATTAGGATCAAACTACAAAGTATACATATGAAGGAAGTGTGAATTGGATTCATAAAATCCTCAGAAAGAGAGTGCTGAGTTTTTGAAGCATATGAAGATAATCTACAGATGTAACAGCAGCAAGGATGATTTGCAAGAATATAAAGGTATGGAGAATATAGTGAAAAGTGTTAGTGCAAACCAGATTTAGATATATTTCCTTTTCTTATCTCATGCAACCAATTTCCTTTGCTTACTATTTTATCCTCCTTTTTTGTGCTTTACATCACACGCTTCACCTCAAAAGGGAGTTGCATGATGGGTTATGTACATATGCAAGTTTAATTATGTGACAATTATTGTTCCTAAATAAAACAAATAAATAACACCATACTTAGCTCAAAAGGATGTAATTTATCAGCTCTGATTTTTTATAAACCTACACAAGTCTATTTTGAAGTAAATTGGAGTCAGTGGGCTTTACTACCAGATAACTATATATTGGGCATAAATGAGTGTAAAATGAGGACAGAAAGAAAATACCCATTTACAGCTTGTTAGTAAAGCAAATCATTATGCACAGCAGCAACGCTTGCCAGTCGGACTCCGGATGCTTCCGTATGGAAGGCTCCTAGCACTGCTAATTAAAAAGTATTTTGCAGCTATTCCACTTTTCTTTTTTTTTTAATGTGGGAAGAAAGTCGCAAAAGAAGCAACAGAGAAACGAAAGGGTATTACACAGAGAGTGGGACCAGGGCTAAGCACCACGTTAAAATTCTACTAATGAGGCAAAGCGTATGCTTTGCATAGAAGCATAAAGCCATAGACAAGATACACCCAAGACTCTGTCATGATTCATGTTCTCTTCATTATAGTTTTTCATATTTTGAAGTTGTAAGTATGAATATGATTTCATTTAGGAATATGAAGCAAGTCAGTCATACAGATCAGGCTAGATCACATTACATATGAGCATTCCGTATTTGCGTGCTTCCACTAATGCTATCAGCTGAAGCTTCCTCTGGCACTTACCAGTGTAATAAGGACTGTAAACCATGGAAGGGTTTGTAAATAAATAACCAGGATCTTTTAAAATATTCTTATCCTACTTGTCTTACAAAACTATCTCCAGGAGTGACTCACTTTAGTAAAATAGTGGCAAGCTTGAAAGATCTACTAGTAAGTTTAACTTTATGTTTTAAATTCAGACTTTTCATTAAATGGGCAAAGACAGACCTGAAAATATTTAGAAAAGCTAAGTATGAATTGCTTGACCTACTTGGTATCTCAATGCTGTAATGTTTGCATGGTGTGAAGAAGAAATCATATTCTATGCTACTGCACAGACTTCTGCTATGACTTCTGTTTAAGAATAAATGTATTCATTGGTATCACATTCTTCATTATGTCAACCCTTTTTTTCTTGAAAATTCCATGTTTTGCAGACTATTTATTAGTTGGCTAAAAAAGGTATTGCTCTAGTGGGGCTTATGTTTAGATAATAAGTAACTTTGTATTGGAAATGACATTAGTTGCTAGAAGTACATTAGAATGGGACAGAGTTTTAAAATGTATTACATCCTTGCTACTGTAATTGTGGCAGACAGCAGCTGCCAGATTTGACTTAAGCTCTGGAATTACAGTATGTATATATGCAGGATTTGTCCTGAGTTCTTTTTCTAAGAAAGGCAGGACACACCTTTTAACAACTGATGAGAAACTCCTAAGAAATAGAACAGAGTTGGAAATAGATGAAATATTTTGTTTAGGTATTTCATTTAGCAAGACCAGGTTTGATTGATGTACATGACACACCTTTTGAATTTTGCCTAACTTTTCATAAGTTACAGTGTAAAAAAAAAGCAGTTCACTCCAGTGTGTGAACTTAACAGCCCTCTATCAAGAAAAAAGGTAATAAGTCACCCAACATCTGCCTTATTATATGGTGCATGATACTCAACCCAAATTCTAAGTAAAACTGCATGTATTAAAATTCTGGTGAAGTTGGCACGTGCCGGTGGCGGGTAGAGCGCGAACTTTTACAATTGCCAAGACGTCTGAATCAAGAAACGGAAATGTTGAATAAGATTGAGAGGAACAGGTGCTTGGATAGGAAGCTTCCAACATAGTTGAAAGATGGAGACTCTTCCCCTTATTATGGCCTTTTTAAAGGAGGAATCACCGGGTGGGCCACCCCGACGTAAGAATTTAGTATTTGAAATGATCGGTGTTTTTCCTTCAAAGCAGCAACGCCCGACTCCGGGAGAGTGTAAGAAAAAAGCGCATTTCTGGTTTCTCCATACACTCCCGATTATTGGGGGTTTTGCTTTCCATGCATGGATCCCCCCCCAAAAGTGTTCTGGGGGGAATCTCAGTGAGGTAGGATGCAAAGAGAAGAAATTGAGGGGGGCGCCCAGACTCTGGCTAAAAAGAGCCCGATCTGCCCCTTACCTTTGCAGGAGCTCACCCCAAAGGCGAGGAGGGCGAGCAGCAAGCTCCAGGGCGTTCCCGGCCCGGGCTTTCTCCGGCTGGGGCGA